GAGGGGATGTTAACACAAAAAGTGGGGGGGGGGAGGGAGGAGGGGATGTTAACACAAAAAGTTGTACAGTTGGTTTTTTTGGATCACCCTGTAGTTGAGAAAAGAGCCTTGCTATGAATGCCAATGAATGGCAATGGGTTTTTTTGTACCACATTATGTTTGTTCCATACTTTCTGGTGAAAAAAACGTTTTATTTTTCAAAATTCAGCCCTATCTTCACCTAACCAGACTTTATAAAAAGTAAACTTTTTTGTATATTTTTTCTAGTATGGAGTGTTCCAGTTTTGTTGTATCTAAGTGACCTCTCTTCTTTGTCTTTCAGGCTCCCTCTGTCAAATGCAAAATCATAATTTCATCTTTTATACATTGGATTACATTAGATGATTTGACAACAAAATAAATGGTGTTTTAGAAATAAACCTATTAGTAACGTTTGATCAGTTATTCTAATTTGGTCATGATCGTTCCAAGTTCGTCATAATATTATTATGCTTGTTACAGTTTTGTCACATGCCTCTGTATTTGGTGTTGAAATCAAGTGTGGAGCTACTTTTGAAGTTTGCGATTTTTCAGCGCGTTTAGGAGTAAGGTGCCCATCCTGTGATTATTTTTAAAGCATTCCTATTTATAAAAAAAAATATTTAAAAAAACTTTTTTGGAGGAAGTTTTGTTTATTTTAAATAGGAGTTTTATGGAAATTTTGAGTAGAGCTACATTTATGTTACGGATAAATTTTGGCTGCACTTTTTATGTCTGAGTTTATGTATTTGTGTGATTATTTATCTTTAATTCACTATGGTAATTTGTCCATCTTAACTTTATTATTGTGCTGATGGAATCGTAAAAACACCTGCATTGAAAACATAAATTAAATAAATTATCATTACTCCTTGACCAAACTTGGGTTGTTGTGGCAAGTTTTTTTAAGACCCTCCTTTCACTTAGCTTGGTTCTGTGGGAGACGGACGTTAAATCCTGAGGTCCTGCCTCTTTAATGTCCTTACAATGTTGAAAGGGGTGTTACTAAACTTGTACAATCGTACGATGAATGACCTTCATTCTATCAGACTTTTTCTTTTCATCCTTTGCTTGCTCTGTAGCCTACGTGAACATTTTTCTGATAAGTATAACAACGTGTGTGTGTGTGCATGCGTGCATGCTTATGTGCATTCGTGTATGTGTATGTGTGTGTGTATTTGTTTGTGTGCGTATGTGTGTGTGTGCATGCCTGCGTGCTTACTTGCGGTCATGGGTGTTTGCGTGCATGTGTGACCTGGCTCTTTGACATGTGCACATCCTGCCGTCTATATATAGTATACATGTGTGACAGCACAAGAAAACACTACACATGGATTAGAATTTTCTTAGGACACCTTTCTCCGAGTAATGTGAACTTCATTTCGTGCAATTATCTTCAACAGTTTAAAAAATGATGGCCACGTACAACAGACAAAAGGGCGTTTAAAATCATAGAGGTGGCCATTGTTAGATTTAGGATAGGCTCCAGAAAATAACATATACTCATGTGTTATGGCACGGTGGAATCAGTCGCTCATCAATTTTTGGGCACGTAGAGCTACTAGTATCATAGTAAAGCCTGTTAATTTGACTTGCTTTGGGTGTAAAAATACTCATCTATCCTGAATAGAAGTCGAGATATCTGCGATTGCAGGAGGTGGGGGTCACCTGCTTTCAGCAGTTAAATTAACACAAAAATCGGCCGGCAAAGTTTGAAAGTGATTCCAAAGCTTGAGAGTTCTTAGAAACGAAAATATACATTTTAGTGTGCTTGTAATCAACGTTTTTCCTGTACAATCTACACATATTTATGTGTTTTCAGATGGACATTAAAGGTGATGAGCCAAAAAAAAAATTAATAAAAATTGGCATACCTGCGAACAAAAAGCCTTTTTCTTTCATTTCTTTATTTTGACGAGCGCCTGATTTCACCACGATGCCTCACATAATATGTTGGCCTTTTGCATCTTGACAGACAACCCTTAACTTGCAATCATACACATAACATATAGCTTTGCCAGGGTGATAAGCATAGAAGTATATTGGCCAAGTGGAAGTGCTACTCCCCTCCCTTCAGATCTTGACTTCCTTGATATGATCCAAAATAGAGGCATAGCCGATAGGTTTGGACCCAAGAAAGGTATCAGGCTGTGTTTTATTATTTAACAGGTGTGACGGGAAGAAAGGACATTTTTAAAACGTTCAATTTTTCCTAGATGGCAACCAAGGGGATTTCTCTTCTACGGTGTTCGACCTCCAAGTAAGGGACCTTTCACGTGCTTAACAGCTAAGCTAAGCTCTATATATGCGCTTTACAATACAATCTGCTTGTCCTACCTACTGACCTGACCTAACATACAAACAGAAGATAGATGTTTGACAAGAAAGAAAAAGCAAACCACTCCAGAACACCCGCCCACACCCCCCATGACGTGATTCATCATCTTTTTCATTATTATTATCATCATCGTTATTAATAGTTCGCGTGGGTGGTTGGTGGGTGCTGTGGTGCTGTTTGCTCCTTCTTTCCTAAGACATATTATGTGGCTCGTATTTCTCCTCCTTCAAGATTCCCTTGACACGCAGCAACTTCATCCCTGTTTTTTTTCTTTTCTTTTGTTTTGGTAAGGTTTTAAAGAGTTCACAACTGCAATATATATAGGTCATGTGAGCGCCAAGGGGTGGATGTCAACAGAGAAGTCCAAACGGGGAATCAGGCTTACTCTGCTCACCTCTCTATCCCCAACAGCACAAAGTCTGCTTCAACTATCAAGGCACCTAGGAAATAGCAGTTCACAAGAGAGTGACAAACATACAAAAGAAATAGAGGAAAATGACTTTCGCCTTAGTAAGGATGAGGAAAGAAAAAGCAGCAGTTCTCCCTATGTTGTGCCGGCACAGTATGAGCATGACATTGATAAATCAGCCCTTTTACAATTCTACTGTGTATAAGAACTTGTTAATATCCCCCTTTTGGGAATGGCATAAAGACAAGTTTAGTAGGTAGCACCGCCCTGGCTTAGGGTGGGGGGGGGTATCGTCTTTGAAGGGTTTCTTTTAGGGCTGACTTTTGACACTATCTCGACAAAATTGTTGTTCATATCAAGAGATTTCTTTTCCGCAATTTTT